GAATCTCAGCTCCAGGGAGGGAGAGGCACTTTTCCTAGATTACAGCTGGGGGGTCCTTGTCCTCCCATGGTGAAGGCTGAGTGCTGTGTTGCCAAGAGTGTAGGGAGTCAGGGGACCTGGGCTTCCATCTTACCTATAAACCAGGTGGCTTTGAATGTCAGAAATAGAAACAATTGCAATTATTGACACTTCTGTCTACACGCCATGTAAGGGAAGACTGTCGATGTACATTAGCTAGTATTTCTAAGCTCCAGTTGGCTCACTGGCAAATGAGAATCTTACCTTCAGAAATACCTCCCAGGACTCATAAGAACCACATGAAAAAAAAAAACAAGTTGTGAAAACATTCCTAAAGTAGAATATGTTCCATACCTGTTAATGTAACTTTTTAATAGTTAACTTGAAAAATAGAATTTATATCTGATAGCTTTGAAATTTCAATCTATTAACACTTCCAAAATTGAGTATTAAAGCTATTGTGTATTTCAGGACTACGAGACAGCTTCACATGCTTGGAAGTCTGTTTCCCCAATGCCTTTAGTTTCTAAGGCTTTTTCATTCTTTGCCCCGATTTTCACAAGCTAACCTGATGGGAGAATTGCTGCAAACAAAGATGCGTAAAAAGCAGTGAATACTCTGAGACAGGTTTACTAGGCAGAAAGCTTGGTTCTAAGTACATGGGAAAAAAACAAAACAACAATAACACAAAACCTACTCAGATTCCACGTGCTAAGTTGCTCCTGAAGAGCAGTTTTGTAGCCTGCAGGACCCAAGGTCTCAATACGAATAGCTAGATACAGAAAGCCCTTCCTTCGTGCACTTGAGATAGAGCATTAAGTATGCAAGTACAAGTCTGCTGTAGAGGTGTGAATTGTCCAGTTAAGCTTGTGATGGTTAAGCTATGAAGGACTGCTGTTGGCATCTTTTGATGTGTGGATAAATGATAGAGGAAAATGCACACTGCATTTTGAAGCAACACAGGAGGAAGGAAAGAAACTCAATCTTTCAGAGGATATTAAGAAAAATTGTTAAAAATACTTTATTTTCTGGTTGATTCCATATCTTAATTCACTTTGGGTTTTTAGCAAAAAAGGAGCCTACTGATACATTTGCTTGAATTGATCAGTTAACATCAAACAGATGAAGCTTTTTTTCCCCATTGAACACAGCAACTGTTGAACTGTCCATTTTGCACATTTATCCCAAGAAATGATGATAATATTTAGTGATCAGGGCTGGTGTTGTGGCTTAGCAGGTGAAGCTATCATTTGTGAACCTAGCATCACATATGAGCCGGTTGATATCCTGCCTGCTGTACTTCTGATCCAGCTCCCTGCTAATGTGCCTGAGAAAGCAGCAGAAGATGGCCCAAGTGCTTAGGCCCCTGCCATCCATGTGGGAGATCTTGGCTTGGCCCAGCACTGGCTATTGCAACCATCTGGGGAGGAAACCAGCAGATGGAAGGTCTCTCTCTCTCTCTCTCTCTCTCTCTCTCATGCTGGCTTTGAAAATAAATAATTAAAATCTTTAAGGAAATTTATGGAGCACTTGTTTGGGCTAGGCCCTGTGCTTTCATTTATTTCTCATAATAAACTCATCAACAATGTCCCCTTTGTACTCTCACTTTACAGATAATGTACCTAAGACAGAAAAGAGCTAGATAACTCATCTAATGTCAATAGCTAGTAGTGGCCATTGGGGTTTAAATCCTGGCAAAACAGCCTGCTTTAGTTCCAATTAGCTACCCATTTCCAGAAAATGTGTGCTTTGGTATTTGTATTACCTGGAACGATCTTATTATATAATTTTTGTCTCCTGGTACATAGGTCAACTCACTTTGAGACAGACCATCCAAGTGCTTAAAGCTGTTTTAATGGCAAGTAGGTTAAGCAAATTTGAAATACAAGACTGTTTTTTCAGGCCATAGCTCCTCTGTAAATAATTCATTATTCATTCTGCAGCTATGCTCAGTGCTACCAGAGAGTGCAAGCATTGTGGGAGACATAAATACAGAACACAGCTAGTGAGGGAGAGGCGTGATGTTTGAGTGGTGTAAACAAACTGCTAGTGGCATTTAAAAAAGGCAAAGATTCTTCAACTGGGATGGATGAGAAAAAGCTTCATAAAGTCCCATAACCTAAGACACTCTCTCTCCTTGACCCTGTGGCTTCCTCACTTCTTCCAGGTGGTTGCCAAAATACCATCTACTCATTAAGCCTTCCCTGGCCACTCTATTTGAAAAGTTATTCCCTACCATTCTTTAACCCGCTTCCTTGTTTTACTTCCCACTAGCACCTGTCACCTCTTGATAAGCTATATGCTCTTCTTATGTGTTGGCTTCTTATCTGTCTCTCCACATGACAATGCATGCTATAGGAAGGCAGGGGCTTTTAGCTGACTTTCCTCTAATGTAAACTTAGTCCTCAGGACAGGTGTGACTCAGATTGAAGACACAATAAATACTTGTGGAATGAATGGAGGAGGAAATAGTACTTAAGTTAGGCCTGAAGAATGGAAAGGATTTATCTAGATGCTGTTGGAAGAAAGTGAATTCCAGGTGAAGGATATGAGCTCAGCAAGGAATGGAGGCAGCACATTGCATAACCTGCTTGGAGAAGAGTGTACTGAGTAATTTGGTTAAAATGAGATGTGGTGGGATAGTGGTTTGATGCTGCAGCTAAGATGCTCCTTGGGTGTCTGCATCCCATCTTGGAGTGCCTGTGTTCTAGCCCCTGCTCCATTTCTGACCCAGCTTCCTGCTAGTACACACCCGAGGAGGCAGCAGGTGATGGCTCAAGTAGTTGAGTACCTTCTATCCACATGGGAGACCAAGACAGAGTTCTAGGCTCCTTGCTTGGTCTGGTCCAACTCTAGCTGTTACTGGCATTTGGGGGAATGAGTGAGTCAGAGGACTGAAGTCTCTGTCTACTTCTCTTTTTCTCTTTGTCACTCTTTCTTTCAAACAAATAAAACATTTTTGAAAAAAAAATACAGTATGACATAATCTGAAAGTATCTATAAAATATAGATCTGAGTGATTAGACTGATTAGAATTTAATTCTACAGGTAGCAAGGAGTCCTTAAAATTAGGACTTTTTACATATGTATACTTTAAATATCTTTAAAATATAACAATCAGTTCAGGTAAATCAAATGTAGGAATGAAACCAGGTTGTTTGGGCCCTGTAGCTAATATCATTTTTCTGAATTTCTTTAGAAACATGTAAAATTATAAATATTAGATTAGATATAACCGCTGGCTCTAATCTTTCAGGTCACAATGCCAGGTTAGTCGGTGCAGCGGGTTTTAGGAGTCACTCCAGATGCCTTTCTGTTATTGGGATAACTAACAGTGATACAATTAACTCTACATGGATATGATTGTAAGCTACATAAATATAGCTTGAGAAACTGATCTTCCCTTAGCCAAATTCTGAAAATACCTGCAGCCTCTTTGAAGCCACAAGACAAAAGGATGGATGGTGGATGGTGGAGAAGTCAGAGTGGAAGGAGACAGCAGAATGTTATTAATTACATTAATCTATCAATGACCATGGGGACTGATTTCTAGGACCTTGGAAGAAGCCAGAACAAAGGGAGAACACTGAAGCTTTATTGGTTTTATGCTGAAGGATAAAAGATGCATTAGAATAAGTGAGTGTACTGCACATGGGTGAGAGAAGATGTTTGGTGTGCAAATTTGGAATTGATCATGTGACAGATGATATACAGGGACATGTAATTGTAGTTGGCTATTGAATCAAAGGACAGCAGAAGGTCAAACATGTCTGAAGTTGTCCCAGAATACTAAGCAGTAATCTGGAAATGAATTGTAATTACAGCTGAATTTCTCTTCGTGTTTTCCAAACAGAAGCATGTTAAATATTCTTTATTTTTAGAAGAAATTGTACTCATTGCTTCAAATTTTCTCTCTTAGGCTATGAGGCCCCAAAATCCATAAGTTGTAAAACAGAGTCTTGATGACGTGAAGCAATTCGTGTGGGTTCCCCAGGTGACTTATTTATAGAGAAAAACAAACTTAGGAGTGAGGAGAATTTGGTTGACAAACTAGTGGGTCGGTAAAACTTAGCTGTAGCAGTTTTTAAATGTTACGCTTTAGACTATAAAATCACCATGCTGCAATAGTGTGACCTTTTAAAGTTTGCAATCTTTTATTGGCAAAATCAGTGAATAACCAGCCATGTCGGTTATTAATTCCACAGCTACCATGACAACTGTAGTCTATTTTTGATGTCCTTGTGGCATATCAAGGAAATTCCTAATACTTTAATGATTTACTGGGAAATTAAAAATGTAATTGATTTAGTCATGCAGAAAAGGAAAAAGGAAGTGACAAGTCCTTGAGTTGACTTTGCTTTTGGGGAAGAATACGCTTCACTCACCATATTTTAACTATAGGTGGGTTGTATAGAATTTTGGATCCAGAAGTCTCCCATCCCCAACATAAACTGTGGAATTAAATGTATTATCATGGGGAGTCACCCACAAACAGTTGTTGTTACTCATATGTATTTAAAATGTGGTCTTCAATAAAATGTAATTTTAGGTAATTAAAGTAATAATGGAAATATATCAATGTAAGGATATAAGGATATAAGGATTGTGTTAGGCTATCAAATACCTAATAAGTCTCAGATTTTTTTTTGTGTGTGTGTATTATGGGTCAACAAAAGTATAATCTGTCATAAGCATTGACTTCAGAAGAGAAGTAAACCTTTTCAGCTTTCAAAGCCTTGGAAACAATAACGGATACTTTGGCTACGAAGAAAATAGACTTCATCTTCTATGCCAATTCCACTAAATTGAGAGTGGCTTCCTGCAGGGCCCTGTGTTGGGATGAATTCCGAGACTGCTTTCTGGCTCCATAGGAAAGAGGGCTGTGATCAATTAAGAAGTGGGGAGTCGCAGCATGGGTGCTATGCATTCAGTATCCACGATGAAGCAGCATTTTTAAAAATCAATAAACTCCACAGACTCACCCGATAAGCCACCCACATCCATCTTCTTCAGGTTCTTGGCCTCGAGGATGACAACAGTCAGTTTTCCAGCAGTCGGTACATAGCGAAGGGAGAAGCAGATATCACCCAGTTTCTCTTGCTATGAAAATGAGTAAAAGCGTATTAGCAACCTTTGAAATAAAGGTGAATACAGTGTGCAAACATCCATTGTAAGTTCTTCAAGAGGAGGATTGTGGCAATTGGAATTTGAGAACTTTGAGATCTATTGGCATTTACCCAGTAATCTGTCATTGACTAAGGGATCATCAAGAATAACAACGGTTTTAAAATTTTTTTAGAAATTTTAATTTTATCTGAAAGGGAGAGAGGAAGAGAGAATGATTTCCATCTGCTGGTTCACTCTCCAAATACCTGCAATACCCAGGGCTGGGCCAGGTCAAAGCCAGGAACCCAGAACTTGACCAGTCTCCAGTGCTGATGGCAGACCCAAGTACCTGAGCCATCACCTACTGCCTCTCCGGGTGCATAGTAGAAGACAGCTGGATCAGAAGCAGGGAAAGTAGGATTGAACCAAGCACTCTGTTGTGGGATGCAGGCATCCCAAGCAGTGTGCCAACTGCTGTGCCAAATGCCACTCCACCCAATTGTGAAGTTTTTCTTAAATACCATCTATTACATTTTTTAAAAAAAGCCATTTATATTTCAACATTCATCAAAATATATAATTCAGTGGTGCAGGAAATGAGGCAAAGATGACTTTTCTAGAGCATTTTCACTCTTGGAAAAATTTCATAGCTATATTAAATCACTAAGAAAAGAGACTAACACTTCCTTAGTAGAATCAACCCACTTAATTTTTTGTGTTACATTTGAATGGTATCATATCTAATACTGTGTTTAGGGTTTTAGGGGAAAGGATTTCCATTTGCATTTCATTAAATTCTATTTATTGGGTGAAATTGATAATTCCTAGTAGCTGAAATACAGCGAAGTATAATATTTTATATTTTGACTCATTACAAGTGAGGCCTAACTTTATTTTTCCTTACCCTGAAAAATTAAAGACTTTGAGCAGCAGGCTAGAAAACCAAACACATAGTAACCATGCAGAGGATCTCATAGCTTCTCTTGTTTGCTCAATGTTACCATATTTTAAGCCTCCAAAACATTCAGCAATCCCCAAATTGAGCATTTTTGAATAAGTGATGCAAAATTGATGATGGTGACAGATAGAACGTTGAGTTATTTTAAGAAAGGACTCATGTCAGTTCTCTTAAATATCTTATTTTCTAGCATTACTAATTAAGAATCATGTTCTCATTCACCAAGTTGAATCTGTGTTCATATTTATAAACACGTGTGCCTGAGAGAAGAGTATGTTGGGCTCTCAGATACTGGAGGCTCTCGATTGCTTTCTGACACAGGGAGTTGGCTATGTGGCAAATCAGAGTTCATTTCTTAGTGGTTCTTACCTGTGCCCCAACCTCCACGTGAATTCTGATTCTAATGAAGGCAATGCTTGGGTTAGACTCCTGCAGATAGACATACCATAGGAATGAGGTATCCCAAGGACCTTCCATGTTATTCTCTTACCATGAGTGTATGTGGCCTTATCTGTAACTTGACATGCGTGCTAAACAAGCCAGAGTCTCCAGTGGAGAAATAACTCCCTAGATGTCATTTAACAGTGTAAGAAAATGTAATTAAATAATTCTTTTTTCTGGGGGATGCTCAGTATAGTCCTCTTTCCAAACAAAAAAAGGGTATGATTTTTCTACAGGTAAGAAGTAATATATGTAATATATTCAGAGAGAGGAAGAGAAGGCACGTCTTACACTTTGTGTTTAAGCAATGCCTCTATTGGAAACAACACTTCATGTGCTTAATTTTTCAATTTCTCAGTCCCCCGTAGCACCTTATCATATTACTAAGAACTTTGTTTTTGTCTTTTTGTGTCCATATCTTACTTCATCCACATGGTTGTGAACTCCTTGAAGACAGGATCTTGACTGAAATTGCCACTTTCCACACATTTTCAAAACGTGAATGAATGGAAACTTTAGCTAATATCCCTATTTTGAAAGAACTAGGTCATAGCTCCTTTCCATTGGTATAGAAGTAACTTCCTATTATCTAATGTGCCAAATTCCCCTGATGGGCCTTCTCACCCCCAGGAATTAATTTGCACATCAGGGGAGTCTGATGGAATAAATTACTCTTCACAGTCTCTGAAAACAGAATGGGAGTCGAAATCACAGAAATGAATGCAAAATATGGACAATTCACTGAACTGTATGAGACGAGAAATGGAAATGAACTAGATTGCTGTCGAATGTGCTCATTAGGACGGATCTTTCTGCAGGATTCTGTCCCTTCTGCATGGTTGCCTCCTTGGGGAGCTCTGTGTGTTGCAAGATCAGATTACTGTAACCGGTTATTCTCATCAGGCCTCTCAGAAATGATTATGCTGTCTTCAGTAACACCTCCCTTTATGGGCCATAATCGAAATTGTGTGATTAATTTAAGCATCATTTCCATTGTTTTAAATAAATGTCACAATTTATTTTTCTTCCAGTATCATTTTGTTCTTCAATATTATGACATATAAGGAATTTTTTAAACAACTTTAAATAATATTTAGCTTCAGATGAAAGCATTTATATAGTTTGAAAATCTGTGAAATTCCCCATAACTTGAAAATGATAGGATGGGGCCCGCGCTCTGTGGTACAGCGGGTTAATGCCCTGGCCTGAAGCGCCGGTATCCCATGTGGGCACCGGTTCGAGTCCTGGCTGCTTCTCTTCTGATCCAGCTCTTTGCTATGGCCTGGGGAAGCAGTGGAAGATGGCCCAAGTCCTTGGGCCCCAGCACCCACTTGGGAGACCCAGAAGAAGCTCCTGGCTCCTGGCTTTGGATTGGCGCAGCTCCGGCTGTTGCAGCCAATTGGAGAGTGCACCATCAGATGGAAGACCTCTCTCTCTCTGTGCCTCTCCTCTCTCTCTGTAATTCTGACTTTCAAATAAATGAATAAAAATCTTTTTTTAAAAAGGATGGGGAAGAATGAGTGTTGGAAAGGAGAAAAAGGAGACTTGAGAAATATAGAAAAGTACTTAATTTAACACTGTTTATAGAGCTACACTTAATTCATTAATTTTGAGACTTTAACATGTCAAAAAATTCATTTGCTCATAAAATTACCATAATTGGTGTGCCAAATTAAATGAAAGGGAACTTCAAAAAATTCATGGAAAATGGAATTAAAAGATAAATTTGGTGCATAATTTTTGAAATCTGTGCAGTTCTTTCATAACATTTTCCATGAACCTTTTGGATACTGCTGGGATGCATAGATTTAAAAATTTTCTGCACCAAAATTTATATTTTTATTTGTTTTTCCATATACTTTTTGAAGTGCCTCTGTATATGGTTTTAGATTAATTAATTAAAGTTGCTTTTCAAAATTTAAAAATGAGATTATTCCTGAATCTACAAGCTGTCTGCAAGCTAGTTACTGTGTTTTTTTTTTTTTTTTTCTTTTCTTTCTTTTCTGGAATTTGTGTCTATGCCATTGAGAAGACTGCTCACATTTCCTGGTTTCAGAAAAGGCAAGGAAAATAGCCAGTTCATATGAGCCTTTGTCATGTTAGTTAAAAACTGAGCTGTAGTTGTCTGAAACATAAGGAGATGGTTTTCCCAATGTTCCAGATATCTGATTTAATAGTTTTCAGAAGGTAAAACTTTGAGAGTTGGGCAACTTTATTCTTTTTTTTTTTGACAGGCAGAGTGGACAGTGAGAGAGAGAGACAGAAAGGTCTTCCTTTGCCGTTGGTTCACCCTCCAATGGCTGCCGTGGCCAGCGCACCGCACTGATCCGAAGCTAGGAGCCAGGTACTTCTCCTGGTCTCCCATGGGGTGCAGGGCCCAAGCACCTGGGCCATCCTCCACTGCACTCCCTGGCCACAGCAGAGAGCTGGCCTGGAAGAGGGGCAACCGGGACAGAATCCGGCGCCCCGACCGGGACTAGAATCCCGTGTGCCGGCGCCATAGGCGGAGGATTAGCCTATTGAGCCACGGCACCGGTCCAACTTTATTCTATTACAGGATGGTTTGAACCCTTGTTTAATTTCAGATGTCTGCAACTATGATTGCAGTGTGTTTTTCACGTTCTGGATGATGTGGGAACTTGAAGTTCATGTGAAGGCATAAGAGCTCAAATGTGCACTACAGGAGGCCGTGAGGGCACCTGCAGGACTGGGACTGTGCGTGGTGCGGCTCTGGACCTCAGTGTTATCCCCTGGTGATATGCTCTACTCTGTAACAGCTAAAACAGACTTAGGCCTGTGACTTGCATGGTAGGCCAGTGTTACCTGCTCTTACAGCCTAGATCTAGGGACTCAGATCAGTATGAATTGTTGGAAACAAATACTGTCTTGTCCTTGGTGAAGTATGTCTTGCCACATACATAAAAGAATAGGATTGACCTGACAGTGTTAGGCAGACGGCTTTACATCCAACCTTTATTTAATGATTTTTCCATGTCAGTTTGGAAGGAAAATGGTTGGGTAGCCATATGTGAACATTTAATATTAGATGTTCTATTTATTTATCCTCTAAAGTTCCAGAAACCAAGATTTCCTGAATTTAATAAAGTTCTCTTTGCTGGGGTTATTGTGATGGAGAAGAAAAGGGGCTCTTGGAAAATTTAGACAGATAAAAGAAAATAACCAAATCTGTATTTCAGGTCCTTAGTGTTCCTTGACAACTGAGTCTAGTTTTCCCCACAGCAGTCTAAGGAAGTAGGTGCTGTTTAGTCCATTTTACAGACAGACGTTGAGACTCAGAGGTTCTAGAAAGTGATATAACAACGTGTTCCCCAGAAGAAATTGAAACAAGCTCTTTTGTCTGTAAATCATGAGTTTTTTTTTTTTTTTAAACTACTAAACTGCCATCTGGAATGACAAAAACTAATGCTGCAACTGATCACCCGCTTGGATAGTGTACTATTAAAACTTTAAGGTAATTACATCTTCAGCTACACTGATACTAAATACCAGCCCTTCCCTCTGACTGTTCTTTTTGCCAACATACCTTCCTAACAGGGTCACAGATACTATTTCCATTAGCCAACTTCTCTTACGT